ATGGAGAGGCTAACAAATGTTTTAGAACTGTTTACCCATACATACATACACACACACACACACACACAAACCATTGCATACGGCAAATACGCAGATATAATTTTCATATTCGGTTATCTACAACCATGAACTCTTAGTCGAACGTAATCCATAAAATTCTGATGAAAAGTACACTCTATTTAAAGTGTTTAACAAAAGAAGACTAATGTTTGTGAGAAGTCTGAGGTTAGATTTTGATCACAGCTCACATAATTTTTAGTTATTAGTTTTGTAGGGTTTTTGTTGGAGGACTTCATCATGAGGTGACGTCAGTTAGAGAACCATTGGAAAACCGGCCAGGAAGTAGTGGACAGTCAGCTGTTTCGTCCTACGAGCTCGATGGCCTTGTAACCAGAAGGTCCTGGGTTCGAACCCGAGTGGGGTGGGTGCGTAATGAGAAGAGTCCCAAGCTGGGTCGAAATAGCTGCCCAGTACTGCCAGCTAGTTTCCCAATGCTTCTCTAACTGATGTCAGCTCATGATGAATTCCTCCAACCTATCATACAGTTTTGTTTGTTTATTATACATCGATGACTATTTCATGCCTCATATGATTGCACAAAGTTTTTAAAATCAAAGGGATGTCCTTTTTAAATACATAAGCCTCTATTATATTATGTTCATTATATTATGTTCCCTGACAATGTTCGAACCAGTTTTCCGAATGAAGGAAACATTGGAATTACTCATTTCAATTTCACTGAGATTTTGCAAATGTTTACTTCTCACTCAGCGCCCGATTATTTTAAAACTAACTATTCTGTCAAATCTTGATCACAGTTCATGTAAATTATTTCTTATGTCAGAGCTTATTAAATCAGACATGCTGAATTCTTTTATACTAGTTCTAGTCCTACATGATTTATATTAATACATATTTTCTATGTTAAATTTTGAGAAACTTGAATATTCCCATTATTTATTCAAAACAAAATAGTTAGAGCAAACACAATTGCGGTGTCAAAAATTCCTCTTCTTCTTCAGGCTCTACAATTATAAACTCCGTAATTTAATTAAGGCATACTATAGTCAGCCAGCCAGACAGCCAGTAAAGGCAGATTAAAATCATATCAGAAAGTGTACTGTGTGGAACAAGTATCAGTAAATGTGCTGGGACAATAGTCAGTTAGTGTTTGTAATATGGATGGTCAATGAGAACATGAGATTAAATACGATGAAATACTTTAATGATATATATATATATATATATATATATATATATATATCGGTAGCATAGCAGGTAGGACACTCGCCGACCATGCACATGGTCGGCAGTTCAACTCCCGGCCACTGACACACTCCTTTACCTCGCTAAGCCAGAAATAATGCTGGTAGAGAGGAAAGGTTGGACATGAGGCTGGCTAGCAACCCCATCCTGTAAAAATAAACACCATTGCTACCGAAACTTCAAGCCACTACCTTGAAGCCCTATGTTCCACTGGGGAACGTGAAGGAAATATATATATATATATATATATATATATATATATATATATATATATATAGTTTACAACGATAGCAAGTTCGAAAAGCATTACTTAAACCTAAGGTGATAAAATCATAGGAAAGGTTATGAAATAATAAAAAGTCGAAGTGAACGTTTGTCAATGAAACAGAGGAATAGAAGAAGTAGAAAAGAAAAGAAAATTGTGAAAGGAATTTTAAAGTGCTAATATTTATGGAGGATTTGTTGGCCTTTATAGTAGGACAAGGTAAACATAGAGATTGAACGTACTTCTTCTGCATACAAAGAGTCGGTCTTCTGGTATTGACTGGATAGAAGCAGTAGTCGAGCTCGTCAACTAGATGGATTACCAGTAACGCAGTAAATAACTGAGAAATTCTGGTTAGGTTTTTATCGAGTGTCCAGTCTCTATCAAGTGGGCTAAGACTGCACTATTTACGCATTTGGTTACTCCTCTACTCAACCATGCAGGTGAATGTTCACGCGAGCGCAAGTATGTATAAAGCCATTATGTCTCCATTCGTTGGTTTACTTCCATATTCAGGTGTTGGTTTGTAGGGGTTTGATTGGTTACAGGATTTCATCATGAGCTGACATTGGTTAGAGAACCATTGGAAAACCTGGGATATATATATATGGATACATATCACCTCCCCTTTTGAGAAGATTGATGATTAGTAGGATGTTTACCTGGGGGTTTATCTGGAACCTTTGAGCTTGTTGTTGACGTCTGTCGTTTCGTTTGCCTGTTGGGTTTGCGGCTTCGGCTTCGTCCGGAATTGTCTGACATTTTATGCTTCTTGACTGCATTGCATAGCGAATTTAGTGGGACATCAGCCAGATGCAAACGATCGAACCAATCAAGTCCCAAAAGATTTAAATCACTCTTGGTGACGTAGCAAATTCCTGTGAATTTGGTATTGCGGAAGGAAACAGAACATTTGAGTTCACCAATTAGTTTGAGCCGCCCACCACAGGCGCTGACAGGAGTCTGGGAAGTATTTGCGATAGGTGGTCTGCCAATATTATTCCAAAGTTTCTCTGATATAACAGTAATATCAGAGGCGGTATCTAGCTGCAGACGTGTATCATGACCATTCATCTGAAGATCAAGATATTTCCGCATAGCTGGTGTTGTGACTTGACAGGTTGCGCGTAGACTCAATGACTTTTTGGGGATTTAGGACCAACAGTTTGTCGAGCTTTTGCTGGATTTGATATCTGGGTTTGCGTGGCTGACAAAAACCATTTTTATGACCGATGATTTTGCACTTGCTGCAACGATGATTTTTGTATGGACAAGACTTTACAAAGTGCCACGCGCCACAATGCCAGCATGGTGATGGTGGGGTCTTCTTTGCAGTATTTTGTGAAGTTGGACGAGTATGTGTAGATTTCCGCGGAACATTAGAAGAAGGTGGGTCAGGAGTGGATGATGAGAGATTTTTGCTCTTTCGTAATGCACGAATATCAGAGCTTCTCGAAGGTGTTGATTCGACCAGGTGTGTGTCTTTCTGCAGATTAATCAGCCGTTGATATTCATCAGCTATGTCATGTAATGTTAACTTGGGATTTTGTTCTAGCTGATTGAGCAGTCGAGTTCGGATATCTGTGAAACGAGGAGATTGAGACTGCATATGAGAATCAAGGCTTTGAATTGATCATCTGTTAAGGACCTGAGTCGAAATCTCTCACATTCTCGGTTGACTGTGCCAACGTGAGTAAGAAAATCATCATTTTCATTCATTGTCAGCTTGAGGCAACGATAACGTATGCTGAATAATGAGGAGTGGTCTCCAAAATGTTCACGCAGCAGCTTTATTGTATCATCGAAACACTTGTCACGTGGTTTCTGGGTAAAATTAGGTTGCAGTACCGTTCATATTCTGCCGGACCCAATTTACGTACAAACTCGCACCTTCCAGGCATCGTCTTGTGAGGCGAGATCAACAGTGAATAAATCCTCATAACGTTGATACCATGTGTCAAAAGTGACATTAGCCTCTGGGTCATAATTGAACTGTGAAATACTGTTCACAATGCCGTCGACAGATGGTAGCATGGTATGATTGGGATTGCTTGAAGGTGAAGCTGGACCAGTCTGTTGGTTGACGAACATTTCCATTAATTTCATTTGTTGTTCAAAATAATTCCAATTTAGAATAATCCATAGTAAATTGTTATGTTGCTGCTGCTGAGTGGTTAATAGTAGTTTTCCCCGTCGCCAAATTGTTAAATTATTGTTATGGACTGGTCGAGAAACTAATAGTCCTGACGCGAGAAGGCGGAAATCAGAAGACCACTAGGTTTGCGATGATACTTCTATTTTCCAAACACAAGGAGAAGCAAAAGTGGTATCACACCAAAGTAAGTGTCACACAAATTGTGTGAGCGAAATATATATATGACAAGGTGTGAAAATCATTAGACAGTCTTAACATGAATGGCTAATTATAATGGAGTGTCGATCCAATATACATAGCAAATATAGCAGACATGTCAAACCACCATATATGGATATATGTCACCAAGCAACGGACTGTCAACAAACACTCATATTATATATAATATAAGGAGAATACACATTATTAAAGGAGACAAGTTCATACAAGTGAAATGGTCACAGACTAAAGAGCAACAGAAGCGAGACCAACATACACACACACATAAATATATATATGTGGATACGTTCAGTTAAAGTCTAAATATGTATTAGAATGAGTTGATTATCGGTACACACTAGTGTGCAGTTTACCTTATTCTATTCGTTTTATTTTACAATCTAACATCACAGCTAATTCTCCTTGTTCATTTTCCGATTCAAATGTTAATTTTATTCCCTCCACTAGTGAGTTTATGTGTGTCAAGAAGCTAGAGATATGTTCTGTTTTTACCACTGTGTATGAAAGTGTCATCCACATTTCTCCAACATATTATCTTTGGAGTAGGATTAAACGTATTAAGAGCACTACTTTCCCAACTGTCCATAAATATGTCTGCTACAATAGGGGATATTGGTGATCCCATTGCTACACCTTCTGTTTATCTATATATTTTACCTTGGAATTTAAAGATAGTAAATGTGAGGCATAACTGAATCCCTAAAATTCCGAAATATGAAAAATACTACTGCCAATCAAATCAAGCGATGAAAGATAATGGAGCTATATAAATGAAGTTAGGAAGTCGTGTGAGTAGTGCCTTGATATGATTATGAGCAGTAGTAATGAATTGTGCTCAAAACGGGGTCATCAGTAAACATTACTGTATAACGAACACTGTGAGACTTTATCAAAAACAAAAATTCACCCATAATGGAATAATAATAATAATATCGTTAATAGATGATGATTATCACTGATCCTCATCTCGTAGAGATCAAAATATTTATTTGTTGAAATGTCAACATATAATTAACACATAATATAAGGTAGGCTAGAAACTGAAGGAATAAGTACTTTCAGAAGACCACCTAGCAGAAATACTTAACAACTCACATGGATTCTTCAATTTTTGTTTATTTACCACACTAGAATTGATTATAACTTCACGATTTATATACTTAGAGGAGACATCTGAACTAGATTTTGACACAGATGAATCTGTCTTCGGTTCAGACGTACTCAGTTGTGTATCTTCTTTCGTCGACGGTTGTACACTATTGACATTTTGTACAATTATACTGTAACCAGCATGAGTAGTTGACCTGCCATTTGTACTGGTGAGAGTGTTATTGAGGGATGATTCAGTGATACTAGCACTACTACTATTATCACTGCTATTTGTAGTCGTAGAGTCATCATCATTCACTAAAGTTGTTGAATCAGTTTTAGCGTCACTGCTAATTGAATTACTATTGGTATTGGTAACACTGTCGACAGCAAATGACACATGATTGTGTTGTGGATTCGAGTAATCATCAACAGAACATTTATTAATATTAAATAAGGCATCAGGAGATGTCGACGAAATGACACTACTATGGTGCATAGTAGCAAGATCACCTGAAGCATCAGTAGATCTGTGGATAAAGAGAGCATTTAAAAAAAAAAGAATGTTAGGTAACTGAGTGGTGAGAGATGGCTGTTAGTCAAAATTGTTGGACAGTAATTTACGTCAATGTTTACGTCCCACCCAAATATTAGTCGTGAGAAAAATGAGAACAAAGACTTTGCGTAGGCGGATACATTTAGCATATAGATGGTCTGACATTCACTCAAGAAACAGTCACAAAGAGATGAAAGGTTAACTTTCAGTAAGAAACAACCAATCAGAAGACTGTGTTTTTCTGCTAACAGTAATCTATAATAACGTACATGAAAATCTATAAATATGTGTTGATTTCCTTAATAAACAATCTGTTGCCTGGCCTTTGTCTTCTTTTGTTAGAACTGTAAATAATATTATCTGTGCAGAGTAAGCTGAGCGTAGGTGCTTCAGCGGTGATCAGAGGTTCGTTTGCCGACTGGCTTGCATCTTTACGTCCTGTAGGCGCTTGTGCACCCGAAAAGTGGGAAGGTTAACGATCCCCCAACCCCCCATCCCATAAAAGTAAAACCAATGCTACTGAAATTTCAGTACTCTAGCTTGAAGCTCTATGTTCCACTCACAAAACGCAAAGCGATTAAAATAAATAAATATTAGTAAGCTGAATAACAATCAAAAATATATCACAGTATCTGAAACAACTTCTCATTAGCCTATTGAAACCCGGTGTATACGTACAACCAACCATTTCATTCGGTTCCCCGTGTGAAATAAGACTCCGACAACATATCGCCATTTTTATCCTGTTCTCTGCAGTCCCTTTCAGCCTGCTCCACAAGTGCCCATAGTCTCTATTGTCCGCCCACTTACATGATCTCTGTCATGTCATCCCCCACCTCCACCAAACACACGCCCAACTCTTAGTTTCTCATTCGGCTTCCACTACAGGGCAAGCCTGGCGTGCAATGCTTATTGTGTGTCTGATTCATTTTTATTTTCTTCAACAATTTGATGAGCAATATATTTTTGGTAGGGTTGCTCTTTTGTTGCTAATACTTTTATACCGGCTATCTGATCTCCAGTGCAGAGCCAGTGAAGGAGGCAGCTGTTGATGGAATTCTGAGAATGACACCATTGGAGATACTTTACATGACACACGAGTCAAGTTTCGAACCGTCCGACTGATTTAACACTAGTAGTGAAACACTTAATTTAGCTGTTTATTTACTGCGGAGTATACAATGGACGTACAAAGTGTGGTTAAGGTCTGTGTCTTTTCGCCTTTCCGATAGATTCCTAGCGCTTCCTTAACAGTATCTTATTATTTATTCGGCAACTTGGGCATTCTTCCCCAGCCCAGCTTCGTACAATTGTACGAGACCATTCTGAGTCCCAGTTCTTATTTCTACTTTCACATCGACAGAAGAAGACACATCGGCTGGCTGATTGACTGACTGGCTTCTACAACTGGCTTCCACCAACCCCCACAGAGCGATTGCGTCTCTCCAGTTCCAGTGGAGAAAAAATTAGCTTTCTTCTTGTGCTTTGAAGTTTCTGTAGCGATTGAAATGACTTTGAATTCCAGAAGAGGGAAAGATCGCTAATCCCGTATGCGCTAAACACACACACACACACACACTCTCTTTTCCCGGAATTAAGACTGGATAGAAGACTAGCGAGCTAGTAAGGTTTTCCATTTTCGCTGAGTTTCAAGTCTAAGCTTTGAAGTTTTAGTGAAGATGAGGTTGTGTTAGTCTCACGCCAGAGCGAATCCCTTCAACCAGTTGGCCGGTAGACTGGGAGAGGTTTATTTGTGTGCGTGTGTGCGTGAGGTGAGAATCGAACCTGGAACATCAATAGCTCTACATACATACATACATACATACATACATGGACGTTACCGTTTCTCTGACTATCTGACCCTATATCTGAAGGAGGTTAAAGAAATACCCGTAAAACAAAAAAAAACAGTTACCTTGGGACTGGATTAGCGTCGGTATTCTTCAATGAAAGACTGCTTTCTGAATATGTGGACATTACGGAATCATTGTTATGCGGAGCAGTAGTAGTAGTAGAAGAAGAAGAGTCACCACCACCACCAGCACCACTGTATGAAAACAGCGCATTTCCTTTTTTAATAGAATCATATAGATTATAACTTCCACCATCACTAATGCTACTACTGATAATAGTAGTAGTAGTAGTATGCGGTTCAAAATGATTTGTACTCGATGCCAGTTGTCGTTGTTTCTCTCTGAATTTTTCACCACTTTGCCAACAAAAAGGTTGTTTCAAGTCTAACCAGTGCTGTTGTGGTCCGATAATTGAGCCAGGGCGGCAGATACGTATCCAACCAATCACCTCACGTGATGTCAACTTATAATGCTTCATCAGATAACAAGCGATCAGTGTACCAGTACGTCCGAGACCAGCTAAACCAGTTCAGGTTAATTATTAGTTGTTATTATTATTTTGAAAAAAAGAGAAACAATAATTTTTGAGATAATTCAGTGTTTTAACTGTAAGACAAAAAAACATTGAGTACATTTCATGCAAAGGATTGGTTGAGAAATAATTTAGAAATATATAACAGTAGAATTAAATATATATAATTATGCATATTTTTTAAAACATGTCTCACCTAAGATTGTACTTTTTAATATTATTGTATTCAACAAGGCTTTCACCGATTCGTCCCACCTTATCTTGTGTGTAGGTGTGCGTGTGTGTGTGTGTGTGCGTCGGACATTTTTGGATAAGTTCGTGAAATAGTTTTATTTTATTTGCAGTCAGCCATGCTCAGACTTTTGCCCACTACTACAACTACTTTAACTGGTTCTCTATACTGAGGCGCCAAATCAACAAATATACCGGATAGGATTTTTATTTAGTCAATCTGAAGAGAACTTGTTTCACGAAACCGATATTAGCTTAACTGAAATGATTACTATTCGTCCTTTTGGTTTCTGACTAGGGTAAGGACCCAACCTTGAGTAACAAACCTTCATTTCCCTCCTTGTTCTTTGTTATTATTTTTAACTGGCTCAACGACTACCCACACAACCTTACATTTCTTCTTCTTCTTCACACGATCACCACTGTATCACTCACGGATGCCTAACCTATCACTTCTAGTTCAAGTCACACACACACACACACAATATTACACTGGAGTGTGATATTGCTTCAATCTCTTCGGTGTAATGCTCAGTTCACCCACATTTCCTTCTGCCTACTTACTACGTGATAGGCTCCTCTTAGAAGTGGTTTTCTTAACACTAGCACCAAGACTCTGAACCGTATAAGAGTACCGTCTTGACATCGATGTTAGAAGCTCAGATTTTGCTCCGTGTGTTGCATTTTGCCAATTCAATTCTGACCGGTCTTTGATCAGCTGCCTGGTTGGGTAATTAAAAGCGGCGGCTGCCTTCAGGTTTTTTAGAAGTTGATGATAATTAGGGCTTGTCGTCGTCGTCGTCGTCGGTTGGGTGTCTTCATCACTTTTGTCCTTCGCACGTTCATTTGAAGTCCTGTTTTGCCAGCATGTTGGTTTTCACATGTAAATCTACAGGTCTGTCTGAGATAGGACATATATCACCCACGAAATCCATATCGTTCAGAGTGATTTTGTCAGTCCAACTTATGTCCATCTTCTGATTCCCAACAGATGGTCTGACACATGACCAGTCCATGACAATCAGGAATATCGTTGGGGTTAGTAAGCAGTGTTGTGTCACTACCGCATGCACTTCAAAGGCTTTACTAAGTTCCCCGTTGTGAAACACTCCAGTGGCGCCTTTCAGTTTTAGGGCATACACGTGTTCGAGATAATGAAGTATAGGAGTCCATACCGAAAGAAGTGGAAATCACCCACCCGTCACACTCTTCATCAATAACTTATTCCACGACGATCCAATCGCGTATACTAGTTGATCAAATGAGACAATGTCTTTTCTAATGTTTACAGTTCATCCTGCATAGGGTAATATGCTGATCCAAGCAAAAGTATAGGAAACAATCAGTATCACAGGCTCTTCAGTATTCCTAGCTGAGTATTATTTATTATTATCATCATAACCTTGAGTTTCGAGTAGAATATAGGGCTACAACAACACATCTCCACTTTGTCCTACCTTCTGCCATCCTTTTCAGCTTGCACCACGACTGCCCACAATCTTTCATCTCCTCCTCGCCACACGATCTCCTCCATGTCGCCCTAGGACAATCCACTCGTCACTTCCCATTGGGATTCCACTTGAGGTCCTGGCACGCGATGTCAATATACTATATATATATATGCAACAATGAAAGTCATCCTTCCTACCTGCTTAAATTATTCAACAATGCACATACAAATATTGAATTTACTATGGAACATGAAAATGATGGCAAGTTCCACTTCCTTGACATTTCCATGCATCGCCTAGAAGATGGCGGTCTCGAGAGGTCAATTTGCCGAAAGCCGACATGGAATGGACAATAGTTTTTGTCTGAATAGCTATAAAGTAACACTAGTCAAGACTCTGTACTATAGAGCGAGGAGAATATGCTCTGCAGAGAAACTAGAGGAAGAATTTACAAATCTCGAAAAGGTGCTGAAAAACTGTTATGTACTGGTCGAGAATTTAATAGTCCTGACGCAAGAAAGACGGAAATCAGAAGACCACTAGGTTTGCGATGATACTTCTATTTTCCAAAACACAAGGAGAATCAAAATGTCACACAAGAGTGTGAGAGCAAAATATCTGAATGTCCGAACAAGTGTGTGAACACAAGTGTGTGAGCGGATATTCAAAATGAACAAATGGCTAATTATAATGGAATATCGATCCATATATACATAGCAAATATAACAGACTCTCAAACAAACACACATATTATATGGATATATATCAAAAACAAAGGCTATCCTCAAAGATTCATTAACAAATATGGAAGATGTGAAAGCTAAAATACCAAACAAATCACAGTTGAAAAAAGCCTATGTTCATCCAACTAGATTTTAAAGGTGAAAACATTGCAGCATTGGTCAACAGAAGACTGAGCACGTTACTAGCCACAGCCTATACTGCAGCTACATTGGTTGTCGTCCATTGAACAACAATTTCTTTGGTGCAGTCAAAAATCGACAGATACTCTCCTCATGTTAACAACTCCAACTGTGTATACAAATTTACGTGTGTATCTGCGGAAGCAGTTACACATTGAGAGAAGAGGAAGGATAGCACCACCTCGGATTTCTTGAACATGTGCCAAAATGCCTACGTCTCAAGGGAACAAACTCCTATAATAGCACTATTACCAGACATCTCCTCGACACGGGTCATGAGAGAATAAATCTCTCTTTCATATGACTACGTAATCCTAGGGTTTAACCTCACCCCCCTCTTTGATATAGTGTAATTTTGCTTGTCTCCTGTTTATATGATATGAGTTGAACTCAGTACATTGCTACCTGATTTATAAGTCACTCAGCATCTTACACATCTCTCATCTTTAATACGTAACCCCTTTACCATTATATGCATACATTTATTTTGTTTTAACTTGAACTGCCTGTGTAAAAAATTGTATAAGCGTAATTTTCTGGGCACTGCTCACTAATTCCGGAACCTCCTGTAAACTGACATCATGAAAAAAATTTGCAAGTATGTTAAAACTTTTTTCTGTACATGAACCCAATAATAATTTATTTAGGCTGTAACCAAGCACCTGAGCTGATGAGAAGCCATTGAGAATTAACAGTGTGGTAGCTTGCTTAAGGAGACTAGAAACTGTCTTCTCCTGGTTCAATTTGTAAATAATAATAATAGTTAAAGACAAGGAAGGATAAAGATATAGTTTCCGAATTACCCCAGTGATGAGCGGAAGAACTTTGTATGCTTTATCCGTCAAGTGATCAGCGGGTGGTAGTTGCGCTGCTTCTCGATGTCTCGCACTGCGCGCTCAGTAAGTGATCTATGCATTTTAAAACTTTTTAAAATGAAACATTTTGGTAAGAAACCTTTGTGCAGACTAGTTCAACATAATGAAACTACATTTCATTTTTTTAAGCCAAAACAAAAACTATAAATCACCCTACCTTTACAGTGTACTGCAATTGCTCCGGGAACAGTTTCACATATCTCTAAAAATTTATCCAGTATTTGATCAGATGGACAACTGCCATCAGTGAAAAATAAATCATAATGCGCAAATCCAGCGCTAGTGAAACGTCGAGCATCATAGAGCTTTTTATTCAGACGAATTATAGTGCTCACATTCATTTTACGAAAATATGGAACATAGGCTTCTGGACAGTGTAGAGGGTAGCCTAAATATGAAGAGATAAAGAGAATAAGGGCAAATTAAATATTTAATTGTGTAAAACTTGGGCACACTGTGGTGGTATGTCATTCTACAGTAATTTGTTTATTAGACATATATATCAGACCCAGCGAAATAGTATTTTAATTGTTTACTGGATGACGACGCCTTTCGAACACAATATACTGTTCACAGTCTAATCACTTATAACCTACACCACTTTGAAACTTTCATTTTCTAGTTTTTTTTTATTCCTTCCTATGGGTTTTAAGAGGGGTAGTATAATTTTCCGGATGGACAGGTGTTTTTATTGATTCCATAAATAAATCTACCGGGGTTCTCAATCTCTCCCTCGACTGTGTTATATACGATTTTATAACTACCATACTATCCCATCCTATTGTGTGGTTGTATGTTATTGCATACAGTGAGTGTTATGACTGAGCTGTAATCTAGATTTCTGCTCTGCTAGTCGGACTGACAGACTGGCCCCATTCCACTACTCTGACCTAAGCATTTGACCTGACAGTCATTAAAGCATACGGTATTAGATAAACTGACTGCACAGGATTGATCCTTTAACCGACAAAGCTTCTTTCTGATTGAATGACTGGGGTTTGAATACCAGCCACTTTTATTCCCCGTCTGAATTGTCGGGAATTTTGAGTAAGGTTTTCTAAGATTCTTTCTGTGTATGATAACAATGATGAAATATACCTGTCCGTACAACGAATAGAAAGGTATAAGGAAAACACTATAAAACGAAAATTTCGAAATTTTTCAGTTGTAATCGATAATGTGATTACGAAAAATGATGAATTGTGTCCGAAACTTTGTCATCCAGTTAAACAATAAAATACTGTTTCACTGTTTGTGATATGTTAAATTGAAGAACCATGAAACAATGACGAAACCAGGAATACAGACTGGCAATTGAAGATATTTCATAAAATGCTAGAATAAACAGACTAACACTAATTGACTAAGTGACGAATGTGTTTAAATCAAGGAGTGCCTGCCTACTCGTCTTTTATACCTTAATAAAACTGCTCTGTGCACTTATATAAAATCCTACAGAATGAATCCATAAATTTAATCTCACCCGTGTTGAAGCGATAATAAATGCTGGCATTCAGCCTATTCACAGTAATCATCTTTTGTAATTCTATGAAACCACAGAACTACTTCACCGCCATCTCCAAGTTATACTTTCAGATACTCAAATCACAAAGACGACGAGAACAAAATGTTTGCGAATTTTTCAGTCAGAAATTGTTTTCATTCCCTTCGCCCCTGCGGAACACACAGCGACAAACTTTACAGTATGAGCAGTAATAGTGTTTGTTTTGTGGAGTGCTTGGTGGATAGAACAACGCTAAATCTAGACGCCTCATCAGATCTACGACCAACTAGCCGGAGAGTATAGGATACGGACCTCCTGCTAGGTTGACGACTATATTCTACCAATAAATCACTGACACACGAATTGCAAGTTATCACAAATACGTCTCAATGATTTATTATTATGGTTCTCTTGGGTTCCTAGTGGAACATAAGCCTTCGACTGCACGTCTCCACTTGCCACTTCTGTCTTCCTCCTGCTGTACTTTTCACCTGTATCGTCCATGTTAGTCCATACTCTTTCAACTCCTCTTCACACCATCTCCTCCATGTCACCCATCCTTGCACTGATGTCCCACTCGCCGCGTGCTTCCCTTTCGGGTTCCACTCAATCAGTGGCCTGACGCGCGCCCGATGTCACCCAGCGGTGGCCTCCTCAGCCGCGAGTGTCCGATCCATCTCCACTTTCGCCTGCATATTTGTTGGTTGGCGATTGGTTCTTGTTTTGTTCCCAACCATAGTTTCTTGTTGGCGATTCATTCCGGCCCGGACATCTGATCTTCAGTATTGAGCCAGCGAAGACAGTTGTTAATAAAGGTCTGCAATAGCCTGTTGGAGATATTCTTTGTGACCCACCCGCCAAGTTTCTCATTTGTTCTATAGAGAAGAGCTGACTGACTTGACGTTGTTTGTATTGAATTGAATCCCACCGAATTTTGTTGTTGATGATGGCTGAGTGACGAAGATTCCAGATTGGTTTCAGGTTGATGAGTGAATGTGTTTCTCGCCCATCACCCGATTCTCGCTCGATTTGACATCCTCGTCCGTTCCGACTGCCTGTAGTTGAGACGATACTCCCTAGATAAGTGAGTGAATGAAGCGACCTCTTTCAAATCTCTCCCGTTGATGGTGATTGACGCTGGATGTTGTTGTTGTTGTTGTTGGCGAGGTTACTTCTCACTGATACTTCGATTTATTTGTAACGACAGAAGACACAGACTAGGCAACAGATTGTTTATTGAGAAAATCAAGAGGCATTTATAGATTTTTATGTACATTATTGTCAGCGGAGAAGTAAAGTCTTCTGACTGACTGTTTTTCCCGCTGTAGATTATTCTGCATTATTTGTGACCGTTTCTCAGAAAGTGAAGCTATATATTTGTACACATTAAGTCTGCTGAGATTAGTTGGTGAGTTCCTCAAGGTTAAGCTTTCTTATCATTTTTCTCATGAACTTGATTCGGGACGCAACATTGATGTAAATTGCTGTAAACAATTTTTACTGGTTCACATCGAGCACTCACCACACACAACACAGCACAACTGCAACCTATAAAACATGTCTGAAGGAGAAATGTACTCCCATAGTGAAAAGGTTAATCCTTGATTTAATTCCTTCAATATTCACAAATATTCAGTCAGTTTCCACTCGTTGACTATCTCATTTAGTGAAAGTCTGCTAGTTCGGACAGGTTCTAATGTGTTTGCCTGTGCGCACGCACGTGCGTACTCGTGAAAAACACATGAGGCTGTCGAATCGTCGGCTTCCACCTTGAAATGTTAGTGCAAAACTCTTTTTTATTTTATTAAGCTTTTCCTGTTACAATATTTAGGAAAGTTTGGTGAAGTAAGGCAATTTAGAGAAAAAAAACCCGGTCTCACAATCAATATTCGTCAAACAAATAAGTATGCATTTTCATTAATGGCACGATAAGTCGTGGTTCTTTTTTCATCGAACACAAGAAGATATGCTCCGTAAAGTTGACACCTACCTATGCGTACGAGGAGGTTTTACAAGTGTAGCTTGACTCCACCAAAACCCCATGAAAGTCCTGATTTATAAACATTAAGGCAGATTACTAAACATTATTTAAGTTTACAGCGCAATGTTACATTGAATATATTGAATATTTCACAGTATACCAATAGAGAGTCACATCATATTGTGCAGAAAAACTGAATATTTGTAAAAATATCCAGAGAAATAACACACACAGACACACACACAAGGATTAGCCTTTCGACTAAGGGAATTACTTAGGACAGACATGTTTCATAGGTTTCAGTTGTGCCGTGAATAAATCAAAGTATCCGTGAGAGAAGCATTTCTGATAGTTTCAAATTCGTGTATCAGTGGTCCAGTGGTAGAGTATAAGGTCACCATCTTAGCAGGAGGTCTTTATCCCTAATCTCCGCCTAGTTGGGTCGTAAATCTGGGGGGGCAGAGAGGAGAGAAAAGTTTAGGAGTCGAACTTCAGGATAGCCTTTTTTTCCCGGCAAGTATAGATTTCCGCGAAGTTAATATGCATTAAATGATGTCTAGTCTTTTTAAAAAAATACACTGAAAGCTTTTATAGCAGCAGTTTGAAGTTGGTCAATGAAATTTCAACTTAAGGGAAGAAATATCACATCTACAGTTCCCGTGAAAAACTCAATCACTGGAAGCATTGTGAACAAAGAAGACACGAGCATCAGACAGAATTAAATCGATTGACAAAAAAAATTGAAAAAAAAACAACTTCAGTGGACTGGATTTAAATGTGTTACAGGACAAAGTGACACATACCATTTTCTAATTTACTCTGGGAATGTGGTCCACAAAATGCAATGAATTTATTCGGTAGTATCCAAGTAAGATCACCATTTTCTACCTTCTACAATGGATATTATGTATACAAGAAAGCAGGGGCATAAACTCACTTCAAAATGTTCATACTCTTCTACATTGAATGTTTCGAAATCAAAAAATTTATTGAGTAAAGCCTGAAGCAGAAATATAAAATAAAATAAATAGATTAGGAGAAATAAGCAACGGAAAAACAAACAAATAAAGTCAACATTTAAGTGTTGGTTTGTACGGATTTGATTGGTTACAGGACTTCATCATAGGCTGACATTGGTTACAGAACCATTCGAAAACCTGGGAGTACTGGACAGCTGTTTCATCCTAGTTTGGGACTCTTCAGAATTACGCACCCACTGGGGTCCGAATCCAGGACCTTCCGGTTACAAGGAGAGCGAGTTCGTAGGCCACCGGGACTAGAACCAATGGCCAGCCCATGAATTCTAACTTCTGCCAATTCACGACACAGCGCGACCCCTAGCCAATGTCCTAGGCGAGTATTTGTCCTCACACTTGACCTGCTGCACCCTACTGGTCACGACTTCTTACTAGAACCCCAGGTAACTACCTACCTGAATAACGCAAGTCTCTAGTGAGCATCTCATCGATATTTAAGTATTAGTTTTTAGGGATTTGGTTGGTAGGTGCGTACTGATGAAGAGTCCAAAACTAGGACGAAACAGCCGGCTGTCCAGTACTCCCAGGTTTTCCAATGGTTCTCTAACCAATGTCAGCGCTTATGATGAAATCCTGTTACCACACATCTTGTTTGTGCGGGTCATTTTGTCGAGACTTCCAAATTCTTCAAAATATCAAAACATACGAAGAAGGGGACAGAGGATTTACTCTCCGCTTTTCTGAAACAATTGCGATTAAACTTTTTTGAAACAAAACTTATGTAGCATACAGAAAGAGTGTGCAATCAATCTCTGACTACTTTGGTAGTTAACTGGTATTTCGATTATATTGATCAGTCATCCATATTGGTGAATGATTCGATTCCCCAGCTCACTGAGTGAATTTCCATTTTTATGAACTATAACCAATGTAAAGAGGGAGAGTTGTGCTAGATGACGTAGGCTAGCAATTCCACCCAGTAAAATAGAATAGAATAACACCATTGCCAACCAAAACTTCCAACCTGTTCCACTCGGAACGTAAGAGAACAAATGAAAATCGACCAGATTATAAACAGAAGGATAATTATGAAGAAGGTATGCCAACGCAACTGGGAAGTACATTGAAAGTACAGTATTCCAAGTTGACATACTTCAGAGGAGACAAAACAAAAATGTACGTCAGATAGAATAATCAGAAATAGATTCATAAGGATATTTCGAATCAGCAAGATAACAAGACTACCTGTAGGAACTTCGGAGAGGTGTAGCAGCAGTTCAAGATGTCACACTCCGTGTAGCACACAAACGGATAGTAACAAAATTCAACAGAAATATAACGTACGCATGTGTATTAGATAAAGAAGAGGTATTTCGGTGAATAATGGGAAATAAATGCTTCTCTCCGGAAGCTTACAAAGATTGAATGTCGGCCATGCGAATGCGTATAGCAATCCAGAAGAGAGAATGCACCGATGACCTTGAACGTAAATCATTCGTTGGATAACGAGACCTACGATTTTTGATATAGGTACAGAACTTGCGCACTATGGTAGAGTAAAACTCCATTATGGATAAGATTTTATTTTGATAAATCATATCACGTTACGTCATCATAATGTCATCAGTTAATATTACTGTATAACACTGTGTGATTTATCAAAATAAAATCTTATCTATAATGGAGACTTACTATTACCTTAGAGCCATTATGAGGCGCTGAATGCATACCGATAAATAGTTATCGACCACCTTGTTGGAGCCGAAACTCATTGAATCGACGGCCTTTGGGAAAGATTGTTAAGCTGGAGGATAATAGTGAAAAATATAAAGGAGTTACAGGAAGAATTCAAACTCAGTCACTTCGATGAATACATGTACAAAAACTGTTCTAACATAGCAACCGATACTCCTCATTATATAATTGGGAGACATTTCTTAAGTCACGACGTGTCACAGAAAGCTGTCCTGTTTAATGCCATTCATCAATAATTTTCTCTGCATTTGTCTGATAAATCAGTGTCCAGGTTTTAGACAGAAACCATTGGTTTTCTGATTGGTCGCCTCAAGATCAGTCGTGCGTGTTCATGTTCCATAGATCGCCATAGTTTAACTGTGCTTGACTTTCTTTGCCCCATTGAGAACAAATTTCAGTGACAACAATAACAGTCTCTAGCCACTACACTAGTATTTAGCGTCTCGACGATTCCGATCAGGCACTGTACACCCCTGCCTCCACGTGCCTACGTAAATCAATAGGCAAACACTTCATGGACTGAAGCCTTGTTTTCATTCGAGTACTCTACAACTCTCTGCCATCCTAATCCGATGTCAGCTAGCATATTTTTTGATGAGATAAGCTGTAGATCGGCATGCATAACACATGTGTCCTACCTAGGCATATCGATCGATGTAGGTGCTTACCAACCTGTATGGGGTGCACACACCTTTAATGGATAGTGTTGCTATTAGATGACACTAGTTGTCAAATCCTAAATAAGCCAATTATTTCACTGCATATCCTGCATCACTATCTATCCACAACGCATGCCGAAAAAACTCAAAATGTCGACAAAGATGGAGAGATGTGATCATCGTTTAATCCTATAGAGAGTGTATCTGTTTTTCCCCTATGGATGATTATGCACAAGAATCTGTAGAATTAATTGAAAAAGAATTAATTTAGAGGAAAACAATCAGTAATATGTGTGACCTTGTATTTGCTGCTAAGGGAACAGGAAATATATTTCTCACCAGAAAAACAAAAGAGTATTGAGATTCGCGATTTGAGAATTGACCACCACAGTAGCCTTCAGAAATCAAAATTATTCACATTGGAATATATATATATATATATATATATATGTGATTTACACGATACCATAGCTGGTCATCTAAAAAGTAAGCATAGATGCTTGGCGCCACATACTTTTGATTAATTCAGTAAGATGAGTAGTTGTGGTGGAAACTGCTTACATCAAAACTATTAGTGCTTACTGGTTAACCATATCGAGGTGATCTACAAAACTGGGCAGTTGTTTCGGTCGTCTGGAGCTGACCTAATCAGCGGTCTACATCGGGGTGTGACCAACGCTTAAACAAACATTTTCCAGTGTAAGTGTAGAATTGGAGCACAGTGGTAGAACATAACTGCATACGAGATAAATTTAAGAAATGTCGTTTCAACTACGAGTAGGCAGAACGGATGAAGACGTTTAAGTCAGACAGAATCGGAAAGGCATGCATGATACGCCTTCATCAACCTGAAAAACTAGTTTGGAAATCTTCTGCCCTCATTCAGCATAACGAACAACATTAGGATTTTCACCATAAATTTCAAGTCAGTCCTTCTTTGCTGGTCAGGAACTTTTTTATTTATTTATTTATTTATTTTTGATTACAGCTTGACTCCACACCGTATTTTCGGTACAAGTGTGGAATTTTCAGCGTGGATATCGGTAGACCAAAATTCGCAGGCCGACCATAGATATCAGGTGTGGTTCGTCGGCGTGGGCTCGAGCCCCGGACCATGTGCATGGTCGGCGAGAGTCCTAACCACTGTGCCACCGACGCACTGAGTGTCACGAAAACGATTTACAACAGGTTGCAGACTCATCAACAGCTGCCTTCACTGTCTCCCATACTAAGGATCCAATTGCCAGTCGGCCAGCTGGTCAGAAAAAATCAGTAAAGAATAAACTATGGCTGGGAACAAATCAACCAACCACGAGCCGATTCCTCAACAAATATGCAAGAGAAAATGGAGTTGGATCGGGTACACATTTTAAGGAGACCGTCGGATGAAATCACGCTCCAACCCCAGCCAATTGCTCGAGTGGAATCCGAATGAGAAGTGACGAGTGGATCGTCGGTGTGAGGGTGACATGGAGGAGATCGTGTGGCGAGGAGGAGATGGGAGAGTTTGGGCGATTGTGGACCGACATGAAGAGGACGGCAGTTAATGGAAGAATGCGGAGATGTGTTCCACTCGGAACCCAAGAGAACAATAATAATAATAATAAGACTAGACACGTTTATTTGATATGATGTCAGTAATAATATAACTGGATGGCATTTCAAGCACAATTTAGTGATTATAACTCTATAACTTACTCCATACGTAGCCTTACTACTCCTTATGGGAAGCATACTGTATTTCTTACTATTGCAATGTATTGGGGGCAAAGGCGATTCCGTCATTTCCTTTGTGTATGTGTTTGGTGGCTGGCTGGTCACTGAATCAACATCAAAGCACGCGTAGTCAAAATATTACCCGATCAGTATCCAATTTATATAACAATTTGAAACCAAAAATAAGCGGTACAAATTTCTTTTAACCTTTGCCTAGATTACTAGCTCGCTCTAGTTTTCTTGCCGATCTCAAGCCCGGATAAAGAGGGAGGGTTGGGGCGTGGTGCTAGCAACTCCACATCCGTAAAATTTAACCAAATCGCTACAGAAACTTCAATGCACAAATATAATAAAAATTCTAAAAATATAAACAATAACCTTATTTTCGCTGGAATTGGGGAAGCGAAATGACGCAGGCTGGTCAAAGCCTTCGGGAAGCCAGTCAGCCGATGCGCCTTCTTTCGATGAAAGCAAAAATAAGGATGCGTACATGGAATGTTCGTACAATGTACGAAATTGGAAAGGCTACCCAGGTAGCAGCAGAAATGAGGAGATATAGAATAGAAGTGTTGGGAATCTGCGAAAGCAGATGGAACGGGTGTGGTAGGTGCCAACTGCCAACTGGGGAGGAAATAATCTATTCCGGCCACCCAGAGGACAAACACGAGCACACCGAGGGAGTGTCCATCATGATGTCACCAACAGCAGCCAAAGCTCTCATGCAGTGGGAACCAATCTCCTCCAGGATAATGACAGCCAGGTTTAACTCAAAAGGCAGGAAGGAAGGTTACAATCATCCAATGCTTTGCGCCTACAAACGTCTCAGAACAAGAGAAGAAGGAGGCGTTCTACAGACAACTACAAGCAATAATGGACAACGTCCCAAATGGCGA